GCCTAGGACTCTGAGTGGGGCTGAGTTGCACAGCTGGTTTGTGTTAGGGCTTGGATGGGAACCCTGGTCTCCTGACTCCCTGCCCATGGCTTCTACCTCCCAGGCACCCTGTGTGGAGGCCCCTGCGGCTGGGAGTCTGCCTGGAGGGCGATTGGTTAGCAAAGAAAACTTTGGTTGGGGGAAGGGGATGGCCCGCCATAAGGAGGATGTTCCTCCCCCCTTACACAGGCGGCCCCTGCCTTGACCCCTTACCCCCAAATAAGTGGGTTGATGGAGGTTAAGCCGGAGCCCTGGATGGAGGGCTGAGGGACTTCAAGTCGCCTGCAAAGACAAATTCCACCAAATTCATCTGAGTTTCCTATTGTCTTACATTAAAGAAAGAAAATAAGACCAGTGATCCCAAAGGAAAAATCTCCTAACAGACTAAACATTACAGGCTGGGGTTGGCATAGAATGCAGGGCAGCCCCATGGCACTTGCAGGCCCTGGACCCAGCACTTCACACACATCATCTCATTTAACCCCCCAGCAGCCCTGTGGGCGAGCTGTTATTATTATGCCGCTTTACCCGCAAGGGAACAAGTCCCCACACAATGTCTGGCTCCGTGGAAGGGGCTGCTGGTTCACAATTGCGGAGGCACAGAGAAGTCAAGGGACCAGTTCAAGGTCAGCCAGCAGGGAAGAGGGGGAGCTGGAATTGGAACCTAGAGCTGTGTGACTATAGAGAGGCTCAGTCAGCTGAAGTGACCTGCTTCACCCCCACCCCCTCCATAGGCTGCAAGTGGGAGGCTTAGGACCCCCCTCCCCAGCCTCCCAGCCTTGGCTGGCGGGCAGCCTGCGGCAGACAGGGCGCAGAGAGCTGGCCTGGGAGCCAAGTGAGGTGGGAACTCCACTCCCAAAGGAGTTGCTGCTCCGCCAAGGCTGCGAGACTCCTCCCATGGGGTGACCCCCTGGGCCAATCCCCCAGCGCCCCGCCCTGCAGCCCGGGTGAGCCAGGCTGAGCCCTGCCCCAAGGAGCCTTTCCCCCTAGTTCTTCAGCTTTGTGAGAACAGAAAGGTTCCCTGGGGGACCAAGGAGAGGGGGCAGCTTCTGGGGCTCAGGGCAGCCATTCAGAACTCAGGGACTAGGGGGCAGGGGGAGAGAGGGAGGAAGGATGCAAGGGTCACTCTATCTGGGCAAGTGAAGGTAAGGAAAGGGGCATATGACTTTCTTGTGGCATTTTCCAGGGTGTGTTTGTGGGTGAAACATGCACACACAGCATACACACACTTGCTTTTTGTTTTTTAATATGTCTTTATTGTTTTCAGAGAGAGGAAGAGAGAGAGAGATAGAAACATCAATGATGAGAGAGTCATTGATCGGCTGCCTCCTGCACGCCCCCGACTGGGGATTGAGCCTGCAAACCAGGTACGTACCCTGACCAAGAATCGAACCGGGGTCACACTTGCTTTTAAAAGAGCGGACTCCACAGCATTGCTCTGTGTGTGACTACAAAGGATGCTTGCGTCTCTCCAGCCAAGTCCCAGCACCTAGGGGGTTTATACGCTCGCTGAGGTTTCCTAGAGCTCCTCTCAGGCCCAGCGCTAATCGCCTCCTCTCCACCCTATGGACGGGAGTGATGATTATGATCTCTATTTTACTGTTTGCTGGAAAGGCTCAGAGAGCTTCAGACACTTGCCTAAGGTCACCTGGTGTGGACGTGCTGGGTCTGGGATTTGGATAGATCCAGGTAGTCAGATGCCAGCATCTGTACTCTTGTCTTAACCAAACACCCAGAAACAAGTGTTCATTGAACACCTACTGGTTGGTCAGTTATAAATTATAGTCCCCAGGGACCCTGGGTGAAGACACCCTCCAGTGTGTACCGAGGAGTGGATGTGCTGGGATATGTGGGTCACCCTTTTAGACTTGGGGTTCTTCTCCCAGGGAACATCATGGAATTTGAGGTCCAGGGACCAGGCTGACTTGGAGCTTAGAGGTTGGTGGGCCTGGCTGGCACTTGGAGCCTGTGTTGGCACCAAGAAAATCCTTAGCTTCCTCCTGAGCATGAAGGTCAAGGCTGCTCTGTCTCCAACCCCTGTCCCTGCTCAGCCCACTCTGTCTCTGCCTTCTGGCCCTCGGGGGTTGAATTCCTCAAATTCTGGAGGCCGAGTCACCACACCTGGGGCTTCTGGAAGGACATGCTGGCAGGACTGGGGGTACACGGCTGCAGGCTGGCAGGACTGGTTGGGGGGCAGGGGCTGCCCCAGGACAGAGTATGTGTGTGGCTTTTTTTCTTCCTTCTAATGAAGAGGACCCTGGCTGTGAGTGACAGAGGCTGGACAAGAGGTTACAGGGAACATTTTTGGCAGAGTACACACCCCGCCTGGGCAGATTTGCTTTGGATGTGAGTCACTGATTGGTTCTAGAGCAGCCAATTGTGGNGCTGTGAGTGACAGAGGCTGGACAAGAGGTTACAGGGAACATTTTTGGCAGAGTACACACCCCGCCTGGGCAGATTTGCTTTGGATGTGAGTCACTGATTGGTTCTAGAGCAGCCAAAATCCCTAATGTTCTAGAAAACCCACAGGCAGGCCTACTCAAGAAATGCCAGGGGGCCAGGGGTGGTAGCATGGAGAAACAGGCAGCAGTCGGTTCTAGTCCCCCTACCCCTGACACACAGGGACACGCACACACACATACGCACACACACCACCAGGTGCTGCCCTAAGAAGGAGATGGGAGGCCAGGGACTTCACAGTGGCCCCCCCTCGATTCTCTCACCTGCTGTATCTAAGGACCTAAAGTACCTGGGAGACAGTGTGATATGGGGTTTCACAAATTCAGTCACTCCCAGGTCACATTCCTAATTTTGCCATATCCATGTGCCACCTGGGCTGTTATATTTCTGTTTAAATCGAGTCACTTAAAAATACATTCATTGAAACTATGTTTATATCACTTCTATAAATGGAAAACTAACAGCACGTGCCCTAAGTAGAAAGATGCATACAATGCAAACAGCAAATAAGTTAGCACGCAGCTGGAACCTGTTGTCTGCAGAAGCCTCTTGATTCCATAGCATCTCTCTCTGCCGATCGAGGGACATGAGCATGTGTTGGAGAGGTGGTGCTCACTGAAGTTCCATCTGGAAGTGTTCAGCAGGTTTAAAATAATTGCTAAGTTCAGATCTCTGGGGCCTCCCATTCATTGTACCGCTGCGTCCCTGTCTGTTCCCTGTGCTCCCGCAGGAGTTCCTGGAGAAGTGAAATGAACTTGGATGTGCCTCACACATGGCCACGTCCCCCACCAATGCCCTGCACACTAAAGGCATCTAAAATGTGTTTTTAACAGAGGGGTTGGAAGGAACTTGAGCTTCTGTAATGCTAAAGAAAGCACTGTCGAAATTGTGGTTAGCGCTTTTCTGAATAATAAATGTTTGTTGCCTAAAGGTGCAAATGAATGCACTTACGCTAGAATGTAAGCTCCACGTGGAAAGGGTTTCCTGTCCTGTCCACTGCTATGTCCACAGCCTAGATTAGTGCTTGGCACTTAATAGTTGCTCATTTTTTGAGCCAATGAATTAATGAGTCCATAAATTAATGAATGAGTGGATGAAGAAATGACTGAGCACATGAATAACTGTCAGTTTTTTCCCCATGGACTCCAGAAACAGGCCTTTTGTAAAGTTGAAGACCCTGGTGAGGCTGGCCAAGCCTTGAGTTGGGAGCCAGGAGGTGGAGAGAGCAAATAAATAAACCAAGATAAAGGCAGACTCAGGGTTCCTCTAGAAGTATCTGAAGGTTCCCCTAGAAGCATCTGAAGGTTCCCCTGGAAGCAGCGCTTACTGGCAGCTGCTTTTGATGGGCTGGGGCAGGGCTGATGGTAGGACCAGCAGCTAAACTCTCAGAAATGTCCTCCCCCCACCATCTCAGCAATAGCCCTGCCCCACCCCAACTAGGGACATCTAGATGGCAGAGTGAGGGGCTGTTTCCCACACTGGGCAATGTGGTACCAAGGAGCATTTTTCATCTGTAGAAGGCTGGTTTGTCTTCTGTGCTAGGCCGGGTGGTGCTTTCTGAGCTTCGCTTATCTTCGACCTGCTCCCCTTCCAATGGGCAGGTTTCTGGAGAAACTCTCCCGGTCTTCTAGAGAGGTCCTCCCCACTGGAGTGTTTGCCCAGCAGCTCAGGTGCTGGACCAGAACATTTTTATGGGTAATGTTTAACCAGCGTGTGGTTGCATCGTTCTGGTTCTACGTGGCTCACAGGGGACCCATGGGGGGGTGGCCTTCCTCCTCGTGGTGGCTGTGGTGGCTGAAGGAGGCAGAGCAAGCCCCCTGCCCTCCCATAACTGCCACCCTCGTCTCAGTCCAATAGGAAGGAGGCACCCTTTTGTCCTCATGAAGTAGAGAAATGCTCTCTTTCCAGGCTTTTTTCTTTAATAGGAAAGCCAGGACTTCAATTCTTCGGAAAAAATTCTTTTAAGCAATTTCTTGGTGCCCATAGAATATGAGCCCAACCCAACTGAAATAGTCATCCAGTACCTATTATGACTCGTGAATATTTCATAGCTCACGAGAAAGGGGAAAACAACCGAGATTAATTCAGATTAAAGTGGATTTACAAATCGATTATTATTTGGGGGTTATCCATATTAATCTTAAAAGCCTCCCCCCTCCCTCCCTACCTCCCTCCCTTCCTCTCTCCTTCCCTCCTTCCCCCCCATTACTTTAATTGAACATTAATTAAATGTTCAATTAACATTTGAACATTGAACATTAATGGGCTAACTCCAGTGGATATTGGAGATAGAAAACAAACCCAACCGTGGCATCTGCCTCTCCCCACTGTTCACAGTGGGCTGGGTAATGAGAGGTGCTGAAGCTACTTTCCCAAGACCGTGTTAGGAAGAGAGTGGTCCCTGCCCCCCAAGGTTGGAGAAGGAGTCATTTAAGCACCCGAATGGATGCTGAACTATTAGCCCCACACTCTCCCCATGACACCCGCCATGTCCCCCGCAGACGCTGCAGCAGATCTTTCAGGCAGAGAACACCATCACGCTGCTGGAAAGGTCCATCATGGCCAAGGAGTGCCCGCTGAAGGTGGCGCAGACGAGGCTGGAGTACAGGAGCCGGCGCCCCAACGTGGAGCTGTGCAGGGACAACCCACAGTTCAAGTGAGCAGGGGAGGCTGGACGGGGTGAGGGGAGTCCCAGAAAATCTGGGTCTGAAAAGGGACCGTCCACCAATCAGGGCATCTGGTCTCACAACTCAACAGGGCACTAGGTTGGGGTCTGGAGTTCTGGGGTCCCCTTGAAAACCTCCCATCATGGGGAAGGCCCGACCCTGTGCACTGAAGCCATCCCAACGGCCTAAACCAGGGACGGCTTTATATCCCCACTGTGTTTTGGGAACCCCCTGATTTCCTCTGAAAGCTAAGGAGAGGTGCCCTCCCAGGCAGGGATGTGGCCTTTGGCCCATGGTTGCTTTGCCCTTTCTTCATCCAGGCTCCCATGCAAGAGGCGCCCAGCTCGCATATCATTCATTCTCCATCTCTGTCTTTGCGCAGACCTCACCGGTGAACATTGGGCCAGCTTCCTGCTTAGAGAAGGAAGGGCTGCTTCTGTTGATAAGGGGCCTCCTCATGGGGGGGGG